TCGAGCAAGGCCTTTCTTGATGTCAGGAGGAACAATTCGCATTTTGTAGAGTCATAGAGTCATAAAATAATACAGCACGGAATCAGGCCCTTTGGGCCAACCAGTCCATGCCAACCATAATCCCAAACTAAACTACTCCCACCTGCCTGCGCTTGGGCCATACCCGTCCAAACATTTCTTATTCATGTGCTTCTCCAAATGCCTTTTAAACAATGAAGTTCTGGGTGTGGGAATGACATTCTTGCTAGTAAACAGTGAGAGGCCTATTAACAGGGATTATCACTCATTATCACCCTTACTGGTATTTAATCTTGGCTCAATAATGTCAACCCTCCCACTCTGTCACCTGGCAGGTAGAAACTAGATGTTGAGAATTCCCAATGAAAGTTGGAGTGGGTACCTGGCAACTCCAGCTCACTGCTTGTCCTTCCAGACCTCCGGCTTTGATACCCAACACTAATGTCTCGGTATGTTCCATGGGCTGTGGCTCCACACGTCAATGCACACTGTCATCCGAGATGTGCCAGCCTCTTCGCATCATCATGGCACATTCCAGACACTTACAGTATACTTCTGCACTTTGAGGTCCACCAGCAATTATGATTGAAAGGCTGCTGCAGGAACACTTTGCTCATAGATTCAGGCAACTAACTCATGGATTGGACAGGGCATCATGTCAGAGCTGCTCAGTTGCTCTCTTAGTCCTCTCTGACTTAGTCCCTACCTGGATGCCCACAGCATCTGTGTCTTGTCTTGTCTTTTAGCGTTTTATGTCCTCATCTGCACTTTAAAGGCTCACATGTCTGTTTTACCTTGTAGTTTAGCGTAGCACAAAGCCAGGCAGCTTGTCATGCTTGTTGGCAGTCATCAGTAAAGGAGTAGACATGCTGTTGAACTGCACAATATTACATTAATCTGACATCTGCATCATATGCCAGCTGCATATGCAGCAAATACACAGCATGTGCAGCAAGCAAATGGTCATGCCTGAAAGTGTAAAACGGAATGAGTAGTCCTCTGTCAATTCCAGGGAGACACTGTTCAGTCAGCAATAAGTCAAGAGCAGCCTCAGATATTAGATTTGGGCACAGTCAGGAAGATGGTTGGGGTGGTCGTATCAGAGGGATGTGTACCTCACCAGTCCAGGGAGTGGGCCATGGATCAGCCCTGTGGATCCAGTCAACTAGACCACACAGACGTGGGAAGACAGGGTCAGGGGGCTGTACAGATAGTAGTCAGTGGCTCAGTCACTGGTATTCGGGGCTGTGCAGCTAAGCCACTCAAGGTGGTGGGCCATGGTTAGTCCTGGGGATCTATTCCCAAACAGTCAACAGAGGGTAGATCAGGGGCCATTTCTGTGGGAGTGAGTCTGGGGAACTTAATTGTGAGGATTGAAGTCAGAATCCTGGGGTGCAGGGGAGATTAAAACAGTGAAAGCAGGGTAGCACTATATCTAAGTGCAGGGGGAGATGATAGAGTTTGGGAGGGAGATCATGTGATGGGTGGGGGGTTTATTGACAGTAAGCAACAGCCTAGCTTCCACAGGGGAATAGTGCACGACCAGACCTGGCATGTTAACCTGTTCTGAGGGGTGCTGTACATTGAGCAGATAGAGACTCAGATATACAGGGGTCTAGAGGAAGGGCAAAACCTATGGGGTTTGGCAGGGAGGTCTATCAGGAAGGGGATGTTTATATCAGGGTGTTCACCAAGACTGAGACACAGTATCTGAGACTCACTGTTGCCTTTCATCATGTTATAAATAACAAGTGCACAATGGGAGATGAAAACACAGCAAAAACACCCAGAGTGGATGGCGCAAATATTTCATTGTTTGAGGGAGGGGACTACAATTTGAAAGATATGGGGCCGTTCAAAGGGGAACAGCATTACATAGACACCAATTCACATGCTGAAACATATCTGCAAGGACTACATGCTTTCTGAACCTTGTTATTAGCTTACTGTGTGCAGTCCATATCTTTGCCCCAAGCTCTCCTGATCATATCAGATGAGATTACAACTGAACCCCACTAAAACCTGTGATGCAATAATAAGTTTGGCCTACCTGGAAAGAAGAAGCATAGTTGCCAGAGTAGCAGTGACCTGCAATTTACCCATTTAAAATACAAAGGAATTTCTTTTCCCAGAGGGTGGTTAATGTCTGGAAATTTCTACCCCAGGGTTTTGTGGAGTCTAGATGACTGAAAGTGTTTAAACAAGAGGAAGACCCATTTTTGTGACATCAAGGAGGTGATCGTTATGAGGAGCCGGTGAGAAAGAGAAGATGAGGCCTGGGGCAATGAGCCATGATCTTATCGAATGGTGGGGCAGGCTTGAGGGGCTGAATGGCCCACTCCTGCTCCTATTTCTTATGTTCATATTGTTTGCATACAGTGGAGGAGCTACTCAATTCACACCCAGGAGCACGGAACATCATGTAGCATTAAGGGTGACTGGATTCTGCACCTTCTGTGTTGCAATTGCAGTTAACGGGAGATAATGGTGAAAAGCAAATGAAAAACAAATATGATAACGTATTCCCAGTGACTCGTCATCCATGCTGCCTATGTGACCTCTAAAGCCTTCTTCTTGCTTTCCGTCTGTTTGGTGCAGTTTTGGGTTCTACAGCTAAGCAGAAGGAACCTGCCTTACAGTAGAGTCCATTTGGCTTGGAGGCTTGATCAGGTAGCATTTTGTTTATAGAGGTTATCAGGGATGTTGAGTGGGTCTTGCCCAGACTCTGGTCAGTTTGACCTCTCACAAGGCTGAGTGTGGCAAGCAGGGTTGAGCTGGAAGGTCGGCCACATCTCGGGTACGCTGACAGTAGACTCTCAGGTCAATCTGTCATTCCTCCTTTAGCCTGGGAGGGGAAGGGCCTACAGGCTCCGCTCTGTCTCTGTGTGAGGAAGGGACACCTGGAAGGAGCCCAGGGTCCCTTGTGTCATTGTCGCCTTACCACTGGTGCTGAGTAGAATGTCATAAGGGGCAGGAGTTATAGCATGTTAATTTTAAGCATGTAAACAGCAATAAACAATGCTTCTCACTTCGGCATCCTCAGTCCTGGTCTTTAGCAGCCAGCATCTCAGGAGCTGGGGAGATATTTTAATAATGTTGGGGGCTTGGGGTAGTACAAGGCGTGAGGGAAGATTTTGCATATGATAGTAAGAGTGATGCAGCATGAGCCTTAGTAAGAGGCAACAGAGATCGAGCAAGTGTTAGCTAGCTGACGGCAGATGACGGCACTCATTCTGGAGAGCAGAGAAGGCCATTCACCTGCTTCCTGCTGTGCTGGAGTTTTTTTCAGGCAGTCAGGACCACACAGACCTGGGAGGTGAAGTGGACTAAGCTGGCAGGGTCTGCTGTTATGTCCTGCTCTGGCACTCCTTCGGGAAGCAGATATCTCTCCAACGTATCGCCAAGACTTCCACCACAAACTCCAGGTCCCTGTCCACAAAGTGGGGTGCCAGTTTCCTCTTCCCAGCCATGCCCAGGTGAATGACTATAAACACACAAACCAGCGCTGGACTATCAGCCCTTGACAGGGTACAAAACAAAATTTTAAATATGGCGCCTCCATCAGGTATGCCAGTGCACCCTGTGTTATCCAAGTGGCGGCAAATACTTTCAGCGATGGCAAGTGGGAGAATTGGACTGGCATCAAATGAGAGGGGCACCATAAGGGCATGGTTGGTAGTTAATGAGTCAAATTTGGAACTATAGTGCAAGAAAATTTGCTAAGCCTAAAGGAGAGAAGCCTTCCATATATTCAACAAAAATAACACATTGCCGAGGTACAGTAAAATTCAGCCCTATGGAACTTACCTCTTATCTTGTTTCCTTCCCACTGCCCTTCATAATCCACATCCTTTATTTCATACTTGGCACACTCTAATGGTTACTAAATATTGGTATCAAGAGTGCTCTTTAAATGAGGGTCAGTTTGCTCAGTTGGCTGGTGAGCGATGCTAACAGTATGAGTTCGGTATCCACACTGGCCGAGATTACCATGAAGCTCCCACCTTCTCAACACCACTCACTTAAGGCATGGTGACCCTCAGGTTAAACCACCACCAGTCATCTCTCTCTTATGAGAGGGTACTCCTTTGGTGATTTTACCTTTACCTTGCTATTTAAATACAGGATTTCGGGAATAAAGAAGGCATTCAATACAAGCCATTTTTGGATTGTAATAACAGTCATTTCGAACTAATAACAAATCTTGGTGGTCTGATTCTAGTTATTATTTAAATATATCATAAGATGTCTTAAAAGATTTTCACATAGCTGAACTTTAATGTGAACAGAAATTGGTAAGAATGTATATTAGGAGAACAGGAACAATGAGAAATACAATTTGTAGAGAATCTTGCAGAAACAAAAGCGACATGACTGCAAATTACCTCTAATTACAATTAGATATTAACAGAATGAGATGCTAAGTTATTTTAAAAAAGGCCTGTATTTAGTAAAATCAAGAGGAATTTGCTTTATAGTTTGCTCATTTGATATATATGACCAAAACACATCCCATATACATGTTAGTTGCTTTATTATAAACAGGTATTAGCCATCTGCTCAAACACATAAAGAAACTCTGCTGCCAAGTTTATTGTTTTATTTTCTACCAAGCACTGCCAGACACAGTTAAAGATAGCAACAGTAAATATACCCAATATTACAGGTGTTCTTTAGGAGCACTCCCATACCTCTGCACCAAGGTATACATTTGCGTGCTTAGTTTCACTACCATTTCTAGAGATTGAAATAATCCTTCATTTAGGCACAAGATGAAACACATCCAGGACAAATTACTGGCCTTTGATTTTATTTTTGAACAATTGCCAAGGTTATTAGTTTAGTCAACATGGGCAGAATCTATAGTTTAAAAACAGGAAACGTTATCTCTGGAATTTTTAGAACTCTCTGATCTTTGTGTATTTTGTTGAACAATTTAAACATCAATGTGCCTTCAGTCTGTTTTATTATGTAATTATCAGGTGAATACTTCCAACCTGCTCAGAGTTAATTATTTCTGGACCAAAGGAAGACTAGTCAATATTATCTTCAACTGACAATGGAAAATAAAGATGAAGCTAGTGATTCTGATAGTGGAGTAATTCTGCAGTCAGGTAATATATTTCTTTTAATAATATTATTATTAATTCTTGATTAGATCAACTCATTTCCTTATTATTGCTACTGCTTACTGGAATTCGTTGGGTTGTTTGGCGGTTTAATTTTCCGTACATTTATGCTTACAGGCATCATTTTTTAAAAAAGTCTGTATTTCAATTTTGAACCTTGTTCTAAAATAATATCCTGAGTCAATCCTAAAACTCCAGGATTTTTTTTTGTCTATCTCAGCTATTTCTTCACATAACTACCATGTTGAATTAATGTTCTTCCTTGGATTTCAGTTTTGGATGTTTTAAAATCAATTTTAATGATTTTGAAAACAGCACTTATAATGAGATTCACTACCTACAAATATTAGACTCCTTGACTTTGCATGCGAGATGCCATCTAACCCTGACAGGAAAGTAACAGTGGTGAAAGATTGGGTTTTGGAAAGACTGTAACAGAAGCTACAAAAATTTAGTTTTAAACATTGTAAGGTATGCGAAATTCACTTCCCCTCACTTGATAAATGTTGCCATTGATGTTATAGCTTTATGGTACCATCAACAAACAAGCAAGGACGAAATAGCATTATTCTAAAATTGCTTGAGATCAGGCCAGCTTTGATATTCTTCCATTTCAGATAGAGCGAGGGGAAGGCAATTTCACTTATGAGGTTGGTTTAGCATCGATAAGGTCCAAAACCATTTGTAAAGTAGGAACGATTTGTGCAGACATTAGGTAACAACATTATATTGAATGCTGCAGATTCTAATTTTAGAATGACTTCACGTCTGAAGTAATATATTTTATTACTTTTATGTACTTTAGAGTTAGATTGATTGGAATTATGTAAATTATAATGTGCTAATAACAGCATTTACTGTGTTAACCACATAGATACCAATTCATGTTGCATTGCAATACTTCTATTATACAACTTGCACTTTATCACATGAGCTGCTGAATAATCCTCTCGTATCTCTCCTTAATAAGGATTTGCCTGCATTTTTTGACATTTTTCACACAAATATGAAGCAAGAATTGTGAACCTGCTCATTAGATTTTAAGATAATTTGCAATTGGCGATTAAAGACACATTACCCAAAGAAAATGATAGAAAAGTCAAAACTAAGACGCTTTGACCTCTGGTTCTTTGAAGCTAAAATGTTAGGTAACAATTTTAATCCTTTGTGCAGTGCAGTTGTAGACACTTTAAAAATGATTTTGTTATTATCTGAGTACCATAAAAGAGGCTTAGTTGTGTTAAGACCACAGAAGAAGGCACACTTTCTCTTCAACCAATCATTCTCTTCAAGCAAACATTAGAGAGTGTAATACGAAAAGCAAATGAGGTTCATGGCAAATGTTCTTCATCAATAACATGTTCATTAGCAGATTTTCCATTACATGTGTGGACATGCTCTACATTTAACATCAACTAGACTACAAATGTTTGACATGGTCAGATGAATTTCCATTCTTCACTATTTTTGTGCGGGTCTCAACTGCTTAAGATAAGACTGCGCTGCCAAAATAGTAGAGAAAGGAATTTCGAAGGATTGATCATTCATACAGCCATATTCCACAGTGTAATTTCAATGCCCTTATAACTGATAATTTTCAGCAGGGCATGTCATTCTAGAATAACAAAGCATCCAAATTGAAAGCATTTAAGTTAAAGAAAGTTTTCATGACTAAAGCAAGTTCTTCAAAAGGTTTGTTTTGTTCAAAAAATGAAACAAAGCATATTTTAAAATATACTGGAGTGAGTGAAACCTTAATTCATTTCAATCAAGGACATTAGCAACAGTGATTATATTGTGTCTGTATCACATATGTAATGATAATAGGGTAGGTTGGAGGGCACTGTGAATGTGTAACTGCAACCTTTCTGATTAGTGTGGATTGAGGATGACATATTTGGCAATATTCAGAATCACTCCTCCAGCTTTAGTTAAAATAAAGACATTTTGTTTCAGTTGGAAGCCCTTCAATTTTACAGCTTTGAGCAGAACATTGTTGAATTAATAAGTTTTGCTAACAGCAATTAGATTGTGGCAAGTCTTATATTTTAATGCACAAAATCTGGTATTAATTATCAGGCTTAGAGAAGATAGAAATCATACTGATACCATTAATGGAAGATTAGTGGCCCTCAGTATAAGGCACGTTGCCAAGTGAGCCATTTTTACATCTCACCCATGATTTTCGTTTGTTAGACAATGAATGTATAAAGTGTTAAACTGATTTATTCATCAACAAAGTGCATAGAAGGTAAAGATTTCTTAAAATTCGTGCAAGTGTATTTTCTTAATCTGTAGGATTCTAGTTCAACAAGGAAAAATGTAGTGCTGGATCTAGTTCTAGGGAATAATGTAAGAGCGTGTTTCAGTTGGTGAATGACTGGGTAGTAGTGATCATAAAATAAGCAGGTTTAAGGTAGTTAAGGAAAATAATTTTCAAAAAATCTGAAGTGACAGTGAAAACTGAAAGAAAACAAGTTTTGGGGTTTTGAGTTAGGATATCACACAGGCCAGACTAGAAACAAGAATACCCTGTATTGCAGTCCTGTGCAGTGGTAAACTTGCAATGCTAACTTATACACATAGAAGCATAAAGCATTGCGTGCACAACGGTACATACCCTGGCAGAGCACAACTGGTGAAATTGAAGCCACGTTCTTTTGAGCCATTCCATGGGTGCTGACCCCCCTCCTCCTCCTCAGCTATCTCTATCTAGGCTACCTTTGTTGGTTGGGATGGTCCTTTGCTATCATCCATAATGAAAATAACTTCCCTTCACTCACGGATAGTTCTCAGGAGAACCTTTAGAGAGGTATCACTTTTTGTCTGGTCACTGATACCTCTAAGAATGGGTGAGGGTGATGAATAGAGTTTGAGTGATACTCCTGTGTAAAGTGCTGTCCATGTCTTTTAAAATATGAAAATCAGAAGTTTTGAACTCCCTGCCTATAAAAGTATCATGGTCATGCATAGTAATGAGCTGTGAAGAATTAGACCGTGCAGGTCCATGATAGTTAGCCTCAAAAGAAAATTATGCCATTTGGATCAGACAAAAATAGACAGAGGGGAGGAGACAATGGGTTGGCATGACTTAAGTTAACAAATAACCCAGCGCAAAAGGAGTGCATTCTTGGTTCATCAACAAAGCAATGATAGGGATGATAGAAGCCCTGAACTTTCAATCCTTCTTGGATATGAGTTGTGCATGGGACTGAAGGATTGCAAATATTAAAAAATTATTGTAAACAAAGAGCAGAGGGATAAACATGGATTCCACAGAACAGACTATCAAATATCAGTGGCATAAAAACTACTGGAGACCATTGCAAAGACAAAATTAATTCCCATTTGGCAAAGCATGGGTTAATGGGACAGTTGGCATGGATTTGTTAATGGTAACTAGTTTATGTGTGACCTGACTGCATTCATTGTGAGAAGTAAGAGAAGCTTCTTAACACAGAAGGTTGCTAAGTTCTGGAATGTATGAGCTGAAAGTACAGTGGAGGCAAATGGGGAAAAATGTTTAAAAAAGGAAATTACATTGAATAGCTCTTTCAAAGATCCAGCATAGGCAAAACAGGCTGAATGGATGACTTCTGTGCTATAAGCTTCAATGAACAAGGAAATGGCTCAAACTAATGAATACAAACAAGTAATACATCATATTAAATATAGTAACAGATAAATTAATTGTTAAAATTCAGTTAGGATGAAAGATAGTGCAAAACTGCATTATTTCTCCAAGAGAAAACTGAAAAAATATTAATAGGCAGCTTGATGAAAGTTTTAGAAAATTAATGCATTTTGCTAATTTGTAGGATGGTAGGGTGGCAAGGTGGCTCAGTGGTTACCACTGCTGCCTCACACAGCCAGGAAACTGGGTTTGATTCCACCCTCAGGCGACTGGCTGTGTAGAGTTTGTACATTCTCCCTATGTCTGCGTGGGTTTCCTCCAGGTGCTCCTGTTTCCTCCCACAGTCCAAAGATGTGCCACTTAGGTGGATTAGTCATGCTAAATTGCCCATAATCTCCAGTGATATGCAGGCTAGGTGGGCTAGCCATGGGAACGTGGGGTTACAAGGGTTAGGTAGGGGTGGGTGGGTCTTTGTGGGATGCTGTTCAGAGGCTCGGTGTGGACTCAATGGACCAAATGACCTGCTTGCACACACTAGGGATTCTATGCTTTGAAAAACTGAAGTGGTAGAACATCATTGGAAACCACCAGTGAAAATATATTGAACCTTACCCTTCTGTACAGACGAGCAAATCAAACAACTTTAAAACTATAGAGATATACATGAGTAAATATAAGTTTTAATGTGGCAACAAAATTACCAAACCATTTGGTGTTTTTCCAACACTATCCATAGTAATGCACTTATGGCTATTCATTTTCTCTTCTCTTGCAAAGTCCTCCTCATAAATCTCTTTAACTTTACTGTTTCCCACCCAAACATTCTCTATTTTCGATATGATTTTTTCTGACACTCTCACTGTCTGCGATGTTTTAGTGTTTCTGGCATGGTTTGGAGAATATAGGGCAGTGATTCCTGCCCTGTCCGTTCTTTGGTACTAAACCCAGGAGTGCCTATGATATATGGATAGGCCTACCCTGGCTGTGCTCAGTTGTATTAAAAAGAACAGGATAATTTGCTTACAGATAATGACATTGTGCAGTGCATAAATGGGGAGGTCATTGCCTAGTGATATTGTCGCTGGACTGCTAATCCAGAGATCTAGACAACATTCTGGAGACCCGGGTTCGAATCCCGCCATGGCAGATAATGGAATTTGAATTCAACTAAATATCTGGAATTAAGAATCTAATGATGATTATGAATCCTTTGTCAATTGTTGGGGGAAAAAGCCATCTGGTTCACTAATGTCCTTTCAGGAAGGAAACTGCCATCCTTACCTGGTCTAGCCGACTTATGAATCCAGACCCACAGCAATATGGTTGACTCCTAATGCCCTCTGGGCAATTA